CTTATGGCCTCTTGAACTAATTCTTGTTCTTTTCCTCTGAGTGAGGATATGTTCCAAATTGTTTCTTTCTTTTGGCTCCTACTGGTGGTGTCGTTCTCGTGGTGCCTTTTCTTGGATGCTATAATGGCATCGCGCCGTCTGTCTCCGTTCAGAACGGATGGCGACTCTATTGCTGACTGGTATCTTCGTCGTCGTTCCGTCGGTCTTCGTCAGCCGTCGTTGCGCTGCTACACTCCCGGCTGGCAGAGGGCAATGTGCAGGTTCTGATCGCCGACTTTTCGCAGTCTTCCTCAGTCCCCCAACAGCCTGCGCGGCCCTTCCTAACCCGGGCGACGACCGAGCCGGTATCATTTCTAATGGCGTCAATGCCATGAGTGGCAGGTGGCTAGGGACTGGGAACGCCGGAGTTTGTTATGAACATTCAGAAATAAAATGTTCTAGTGCGTTTTCTTATCCTAGCGTTCTAGGGGTTCAGGATAATATGAACCACGTGTGGTTTTTGCATCATGATAGGAAGGTTTTTCTGCATCTTCGTTATATGGATGACATTTTTTGCATAAAACATTGTCTCAAATTTTTCGATTCATTAAGTGTTAGTAGTAACCTTAGGGTCAGTTCACCACAAGTATACAGTATTTCGAGCGGTTCTGATCCTGTGACAGTGCTTGAATTCTGACAAAAGATTACCCGAGTCTGCTGCCATCGAGACATTTGTCCAGGTCATTATTGGCTGTCCTTGGAGTTTTCAGCTTGTTAGTTGGGCAAGTAGCAGTTGTTACGCCTTCCTTTTTGAAGCCATTCACCAAGCATAGCCAGATCATCGCATTTGTAACTTCTCAATCTTGTGAAGCAACCGCTGTATACCGAATTCAGTCTAGTAAATGCTGTAATATTTTATTTCTGTAAATCGTCCGTCCAATGGTTTTAAGCAAAAGCGAAAGTGCATTCTTTATAAGAATTGCTGTTGTTTTTGTCCAAACATCACTGACCATCTTCAGGGCAAGCAACGGATGGCCAATTTTCTTTGGCTTTAAATTCGACATTTCCAGTGCGGAATTCACCATCTGTCTTTCGTTTGTGCCTAGATCCATTGAACTGTCGACTTATTAAAGAAAGCTATTGAAATGAGTTTACTTCTATATTGTATTATTATCAAGCCCCTGAAGCTAACAGTTAATTAAAATCCATAATCCTAGTCCTTCCCCATGCTCAGGAAGATGACGAAAGATTGAACGATACCAGTGCTACTATGATCATTCAGCTAAGCATCGGGATTTTATTGCATTTCAGTAAAGCATTGCACATCTTACCGAATAAAAACAGGATGCTCATCAGCAGCGCTCTCGTGATATCTATTAGGCATGAATGTTAATTATTTTATTTACCTGTGATCAATACTGTTTGTCGAAAGGCTTATTGTAAAATGTGGGTCTAACATACCGATTGCTCATTGTGGGTAAACCGTTTAGTGTAAAAACTCATTTAAGGTTAATAGAATTTGTCGTCTTCTATTATATTCACCTTTCATTAGTTTTCAAGTTTTTGCGTTCGTTGTTCATTCGTCATTGTTGTGTTCGGTTTGCTGCTTGTTTGTGAGCATGCGCTTAAGTAACTAAATTTAATTTAGGTGCAGGTGAAGCCAGGTGCCGTTTTAGTGATTACAAACATGGCAGAACAAGGCATGCCATGGACTGAACTGAAAAAAGAGTTCATTAAATACGGTGACATTGAATGGGTAGATTTTAATGCCGGTGATAGCGAAGTAACGAAGTAATTGCCAGCTTCTCGTTGCTTCACACCGACTTTTAAGGCAAAGATACGTTTCAAGGCGGAAAACATTGCCGAAGATATCGTTAAAGGTGTAGAGGATAAAAATGCGACCCTGACGATCAATGGCCGTGAACTAAAAGTGCGCCTCTTGACTACAGAAGAGGCAAAGTCGTACTGGGATGGTGTTAGGACAGCAAAAAACAAAGGTGATTCTAGCTTCTTTGTATTTATATTAATTCTGCTCTAGTTTCTTTCTAACTGCTGTTATTATTTTTAATCTGACTGGATATTTTTGCCTGTCGTTTGTGATCAGAATGGCCCAGTCGATAGAACGCTTCGCTCGCGTATCGAAACATTACGGGTGTGAATCTTGGCTGGTTCATTCAAAAGTACCACTCATTGTGTAGGAAACGTATGACTACACTCTGCAGTGACCATTTAGCCCTGAATTAAAAGTATCACATCTTTCACTGATGTCATCGAAGCGGCGGTCGAAGCCGCACTATGTGCTTAATGAAGGGCGCAACATTCACTGAAATATAAACGAGTCCGATATCCGGGTGAAATTGTTCGTTGTTCTCAATTTCTACGAGCTCACACGCTGAAATATATTTGAAGTATCACATCAAGCATTAGTGAATGCCAGATTACATAAATTTTTCGTCCGCACCTGAGTTTGCTGACCAGAAGTCGCATGTTTTACTGTATTGCACTCAATATGGATTAACAAACGTAACGTCAGGATCATAATTCGCTATAATGTAAAACTTGCATTCTGCGAAAATGATTAAAGGCGTGTATTCTTTCTCTTTGGGCTTCGCTTGGCTATCATGAATAAAGTTATGTCAAAATATGTGCTTAAGTGCCTTTGGTTTGTTGCTCACGTATATGTCATTTGTATTTTAGACGCGTCTTTTTTGGGTAACATGGTTTTTTTTACGCTAACTGGTTTTGTGGTAACATCCGTTCAGATTATAATGACGTTTCCCTCATCTCTAAAAATATTGATTCGTATGTCTGAGTACGTTGGCAGGCGCTTGACTCTTCCAAAGCCGGATTTTGCATTGCACCTCACTGTTGCTCCTAGTAGTTTAGGGTTCAGGTCATGTATTTGCTCACCTGCAGTGCTACCTGCATCTTACATCACTTTATTCGCCAGCTCATTCTCTTCTTCATTACGAAACGCCATTTGAGGTACCAGACCTTTCTATGTACTACCGCGTAAACATCAGAGTGTGAGTTCATATCTTGGATTTTGTTACTGAACGTCCAACTCATCTAGAACTGGATTTAAACGCTTATAACATCACTCCTTTCTCCTAATTGTATGAGGGCATTCAGACAGGTCAGTGTTCTGTGGTATTTGGGTACCTTTACTGACATATGCAAATCATATTATATTCTAAAGAGTTATCTCTTACTACGATAGATGCTTCCGAAACCTGTAGTCTTTATCTGCTATCGCATTGACATGCTTAATTCAGTGTGATGTCATTGTAGGCGAGGAGGTATGATGCACAGCTTCATGCTAGTTTACATTGCCCTTTTTGTGGGTTGAATGTCAGTAATATACATGTATATATTTTTTCATTTTTTAGTTATCCAGTCTTGCGTTCACCAGGTTTTCTCGTTCGGGGTTGTCTCCAGGGCTTTCATCAGTGTTTGTTCGCAATTTTGTTTGAAACAAATTTGACCTTGAGGCAAATCATGCGCGGTTACAATTACTGATCTTCTCTAAACTATGGCATTCCGTTGTTAATACCGTAGCAGATTCTTGTCATTTGAAATTGCAGTCTTTATTGCCGGAATAACGTTTTTGCAGAATGAATTAGGCAGAGTATATGTTCGTTCGACTTAAGTTAATGAACACGTAACTGCTTTAAACCAACTTTAGCGGCATTTTGCGCCATCTCTTCCTCTTAGGTGCCAGATGGTTCATTGAAGCGAGATAGTGCTCTATGTATTTTTGAGGCATTTAATTTGCAAAGGCGTATCTCGCATCACTGATTAGTGGCGATATTTCTCTTTTGGTAGTGACTAAATAGGCAGTCTTCGACAGAATTCAAGTACTCTAGACACTAAGAAAGTCCAAAATCTGTTGTATACGACTGAAATACATTTTTTCTAGCGCATTCTTTAACAAGAGTCCGCAGTAAAGGTCAGGTTCTTCCATATCTTCCATATTCTGTAATCTTTGGCCAGTGCTTCTTTGGCCAATACTTGTCGCGAGCTTGTCGTTTCCTATGACGCTAGCGCATTTTCGTTACCTTTCATTTCTCTTACATGATATTAGCAGTAGTTTGGGCCACGTTGCCTACGCAGTTTTGAGGGCTTTATTTCATTAAATCAAACCAACGGAGCGTGCATTAATCAGCATTTCTCTCATGTATTTCTGATTTGCATCATGCTGATTTGAGCATTCGCATTTTTATGAAGTTTAATCTGTTGCTCTTTACTGTGATTCTCCAGTGTGGTTCGTGCAACAGTCCGTTGAACCAGGTTTTCTTGAAATCACGCCAGTTGCTTGGTTTAATCAAGCAGTTATAATTTTAGTTTTTAATTAGTTGTTGTTTGCCGTTCCCATATTGTTTAGTTTCATTAAGCTGGAATACTTGAACCCGTCAGATCTAAGCAAAAGATAGCCGTTAAATCCGCCAACTCGTATTGTTTTCGCTGCCGTCTGTGCTAAAAGAGCTCGCTATGTACTCTGCCTTGCTGTCACTGGGACGAAGCTATTTTGAATAACTGTTCTGCACTATTTGGTTTTCGCTTCCACTCTTCTTTGCGTGAAACTAAACCTCTTTCAGTAGGCCGTTGCTAGCCTTAGCTTCTTTATCGCGCTCAACCACATTTTTCTTTAATATACAATATTCAGACGTTTTTCAGCGTCGCAGTATCATATTCTCTGAGGTGAAAAGAAGGGCAGTCTAAGTCTTGAAGAACAGGTCTGGACACCCTCTTACCGAGGATAAGTAAATTTTTCGGTTATGAAGAAAGTACTTTGAGGAACTCCTTAATCCCGAGCAGTCGCAGAAAGACTAGCCTGTAAAACAGCGGAGAACTGATGTTACTATTTCTGTAAATGAAATTACGCATGGTTAAAAGGTGGAAAGCTGCTGGGATTGATGAAATCCGCCCTGAAGTGCTCAAAACATTAGGCGAACAAAGCATGTGCTGGCTCTCATGAGTCAGCCAGACTGCAATGGCTACGGAGAAGACACCAGCGGACTGGAGAACGGGGGTTATTGTACCCGTGTTCAAGAAGGGAGACCACAAGGAATGCTCCAATTATAAGGACATAACGTTACTAAGCCTCCCAGGTAAAGTCGACGCAAAGGTGTTAGAAAGGAGGTGCCGTGAAATAGTTGACGTCAAGATTCAAGAAGAGCAGTGTGGCTTCCAGGTAAAGTGTACTCAAAGGTGTTAGAAAGGAGGTGCCGTGAAATAGTTGACGTCAAGATTCAAGAAGAGCAGTGTGGCTTCCGCCCGGTCGAAGCACCTCTGACCATATATTTGCCCTGCGCCAGATTGTTGAGAAATCGTGGGAGTTCTCTCATCCGGTGTACATGTGCTTTGTTGACCTTGAAAAAGCCTATGACCGAATCCCGCGCAACAGTCTGTGGTTATGCCTGCGAACATGTAGGATGGATGGCCAGGAGCTACAGGCGATCCAATCACTGTATTCTGATAGCAGTTGCTGCGTCAGAGTTAATGGCGTTACGTCGAAGACTTTCAACGTTGGTACTGGTCTCCGCCAAGGCTGCGTCCTGTCCCCTATCCTGTTTGTGTTGTACATGGA